AGAGCAGCATAAGGAGAATTTGAGGGAGATCCTTGGAGTTCTAAGATCGGGGAGGCTGTATGTCAAATTCTCCAAGTGTGATTTCTGGTTATGAGAGGTCCAGTTCCTAGGGCGTCTTGTTAACCAGAAAGGGATATTGGTCGATCCGGCCAAGATCGAGGCAGTGATGATATGGGAGGTGCCGAGATCACCCACTGAGATCAGGAGCTTTCTGGGATTGGTCGGCTATTATCGGAGGTTTATTAGGGATTTCTCCAAGATCATCGTGCCACTTACCAAGATGACCCGGAAGGGTGTTGCATTTTCATGGGGTCCGGAGCAGCAGTCCTCATTTGAGACAGTTCGCCAGAAGTTGTGCGAAGCCCCGGTGCTCGCACTCCCGGAAGGGATGGAGGATTTTGTTGTATACTGTGACGCATCAATATCTGGGTTAGGGGCAATGCTTATGCAAAGGCGGCATGTAATAGCGTATGCATCAAGGCAGCTGAAGCCTCATGAGTCGAGAAATCCCACCCACAATCTGGAGCTGGGGGTTGTGGTGTTTGCCCTCAAGATCTGGCATCACTATCTGTATGGGGTTCGGTGTACCATATACACGGACCACAAGAATCTGAAGTACTTGATGGATCAGCCCAACCTGAATATGCGCTAAAGGAGATGGTTGGATGTGGTGAAGGCTTATGATTGTGAGATCCTGTACCACCCGGGCAAGGCTAATATGGTAGCCAATGCTTTGAGCCGTTGGGCGGAGAGCTCCCCTATTCGAGACGTTTGTTTGAGGTTGACAGTGATGACTCCGGTATTGGACACCATTCGAGGGGCCTAGGCTGAGGCTGTGAGACCAAAAAACCGAAAGAGGGAGCGAGTTGTTGGGCAAGTATCGGAGTTCGTTACCGATAGCCCGGGACTTATGACATTTTAGGGTCGAATTTGGGTGCCGTTTGTGGGCGGTACGCGTACCATTTTGATGGAAGAGGCACATTGATCCAAGTTCTCGATCCATCCCGAGGCCACTAAGATGTATTTGGACCTAAAGAAGGAGTATTTGTGGCCCTGTATGAAAAGGGATGTTGCATGGTTCGTTGAGAGGTGCCTAACTTGTCTCCAGGTTAAGGTCGAACACCAGCGTCTGCATGGTAAGCTGCAGCCACTGGAGATCCCCGAGTGGAAGTGGGAACAGATTACCATGGATTTTATCACCAAATTGCCAAGGACTGCTAGGGGAGTCGATGAAATTTGGATGATTGTGGATAGGTTAACGAAGAGCGCTCATTTTCTTGCTATCAGTGAGAGCTCTTCTGCTGAGAGGTTGGCAGAGTTGTATGTGAGGGAGGTGGTATCGCGGCATGGGCTTTCGATGTCGATTGTTTCAGATCGAGACGTACGATTTACTACCAGATTTTGGAAGAAGTTAAACGAGGAGTTGGGAACGAGGCTGCATTTTAGTACCGCATACCACCCACAGACGGACGGGCAGAGTGAGCGGACTGTTCAGACACTCGAGGATATGCTCTGAGCATGTGTTTTGGATTTTGGCGGAAGTTGGGACACATATTTACCCTTGGCAGAGTTTTCGTACAACAACATCCATCATTCGAGCATAGGTATGCCACCCTTTGAGCTGTTGTATGGGGAGAGGTGGGGCAACATGTAATGGGTAGTACGGAGATCGTGCTTCAGACGATTGAGCAGATACAGCAGGTCAGGCAGAGGTTGTTGATCGCTCAGAGTCGCCAGAAGAGTTATGCGGATAGGCGTCGGTCCGAACTCGAATTTCAGGTTGGTGACTTCGTACTATTAAAGGTTTCTCCTTGGAAAGGAGTGATCCGATTCAGGAAGAGGGGCAAGTTGGGGCCTCGATATATTGGGCCTTTTAGAGTAATCGTGAGGGTAGGCAGGGTAGCCTACCGTTTGGATCTACCTGCGGAGTTTGGTCAAATTCACGACACCTTACACGTGTCGCAATTGAAGAAGTGTATAGCCGACGAGTCGGCAGTGATATCATTAGAGGATATTCAGGTGGATGCAGGCCTGAACTATGTTGAGAGACCGGTGGCAATTAGGGATCGGAAGGTTAAGGTTCTGAGGAACAAGGAAGTGCCTTTGGTGCAAGTGCAGTGGCAGCATAGGAAGGGGTCAGAGCTGACTTGGGAGCCAGAGCGCGAGATGCGTGAGCAGCATCCTGAGTTGTTTGCAGAATGAGACTTCGAGGGCGAAGTCTGATTCTAGTAGGGGAGAATTGTAACATCTGGAATCCCAGGTATATTATTTTAATATTTATTTTTGGATTATGTGAAGGAACTCGACGAGTTTATGCGTAGACTCGCCGAGTAGGGTCGTGGTTGATCATCTGGATTCGTATTGGACTCGGCGAGTCCATGAGTGGAATCGGTGAGTCCACGCTGTTTAATGAAACCCTAATCCTCCATGGTTGGAGCCTATTTAAGGGCACTCTTAGCCTTCCATTGCGGCTACCAGTCCCTTGAGAGCACCCTTAGTGAGCTATATCGTTTGGGAGGAAGGAGAAGCCATAATTGATCTTTCTATCCTTGGTAAGGCAAAAACAAGGTGATCAAGAGCAAGAGGAGACTGAAGGAGGTGTGATTCAAGTGGTTTCAGAGTCCAAAGACTTCAACTTGAGGTATTCATTCGGACCTTCTTCAGTTTTGGTATTGAACTTAGAGATTAAGGTTTTCTAACCTCTTTTGAGGATGTTTATGTAGAGTAATTGGTCCCTTATCGATTCTATGCTTTGGATCTGGACTCAAAGAGATCCAGAGACTTCAATCCATTAAGCTTTATGAGTCCTTGTGGGGTGATTGGACTTAGGTTGCCATTTTTTGGGACTAAATCACCATTTGATGTCATTATGTGTGTGTGTGTGTATATATATATATATATATATAAAAGCATCAAGTTTCGAGCTTTACGTGATTATATTGCTTGGGAAGGTCAAATCTATGGATTTGAGGAACAGATCTGACCTCAGGAGGTCAATAGAACTCGTGCATGGCATGTACTCGCCGAGTTGTTCTTAGGACTCGGCGAGTTGAGTCAGGGTAGCCCCATGATTATTGCCTGGGGACTCGTCGAGTAAAGGGAGGGACTCGACATGTTAAATGGGACTAAGGAGTGAAGTGGACACAGGCGGACTTGCTGCCCAATTGCACTCGCCGAGTCGGGTCAAAGTTTGACCATTGACTTTGGTTGACTTTTAGGGTTTGGTTAGCAGTGATCCTTTTGAGCCAGAAGAGGGGTAAAAATGGTCTTTTACCCTTCTGAGGATGTTAAGAAAGGTTGGAGTATAGTTATATTTATGGGAGTATTTGTTTTATGTGTTTAGGCGGAGGCCAGATCGTATTTCTACCAAGTTAGTGATTTACCGAGATATCAGAGGTGAGTCTTCTCACTAAACTGTACCTGGAAGGGTACCTATGTGTGACCGGAAGGTCGGATATGCTATAAGAGCATTGTATGTGATTAGTTAACCGTTTTGTATGTGCTATGTATGTTATGCTTGTTATGGGCCGGAAGGAATTACGTTATGGGTCGGAAGGCATTATGATGTGGACCGGAAGGTCAGGGAGTCATGGACCGGAAGGTCGACACGGGTAGGACCGGAAGGTTTACCGGGTTGGGACGGAAGTCCCCTGAGACACATGGACCGGAAGGTCATGGCCTGGAAGGGCGTATGTGTGTAAGTGGTATTTTGGGGAACTCACTAAGCATTTATGCTTACAGTTGTTGTGTTATGTGTTTCAGGTACTAGCGAGGACCGTGGGAAGACGCCGGCATGATCTGTACACACTGACGGAAGATTTATTTTATGATCTTGGGATGTATTTTTATTATGATGACATTTGCTAAACGTGAGATTTGAGAATATTATATGATGGTTTATATTGTTTGAAAAATGAAAATTTGTTTTGAAAATTCACGTTGTTACAATACGTTAACATTTCGAGAGATAAGCAACGAGAAGATCCACTAACGTAGGCCTTGGCTCGAATAAGGTTCGCATAGATGAGAGTGTTGCTTGGCATGAAAGAATTAGCATCGACTCAGAAATTAAGGGGGTGATTGTTGGCGAATTTCAGAGTGACGGATATGGCTTGTTATGCGTGTTCTGTTCTAGATGTCTATTACTTGCAATGTTGTCCATGATTTCGTGGTGTGCAGACCAAGTTCTAGTATACTTGAGCAATAAGGAATTTAGAATAAGGAAAGTATTTGTGGTTTCCTAGTCTTATACTAATAAGGTCATAGATAGGTTCTATATTCAAATGAGAAATTGGAGTTTTGAGATAGTTTCTTCAATAATAAAGTGTGCCCGTTTATGCAATTCACTTTTGTGTTTCTTCTTTATTCTTTAGTGAAAAAGTACGTGCAAGGCTTAAAACCTTTAATTGAGTGTTAAAGCAATTTCAAAATTGTTCAACATTAAATTCTTATATGCTTTCAAATATCCCATCACCAATATTGATTCTTTGTATTGACATCCGACGGGAGTGTTATAAGATATACATTTGTTCATATCAATTCAATTAAAATGATCATACATGAAGATGTCCACATACATTTCTTCATATCAATTCAATTAAAATGATCATACATGAAGAAGTCCACCACATTGCAGAGGAAGAGTATAATTACCGACTATAGAAAAGCATTGATGGACATGTAACTGATGCAATTACAAAAATAAAACATTGATGAACATGTCATTGATGCAATTAAAAAATTAAACATTTTCGTAAAGAGAAATAGATAAAAAGTATGTTTGTTAACAAAATAAGGTTTTTGTGTATTTGTCACGGTATGAATGTAAGAAGGCATTTGGTAAATCTTTATTACTATTATTCAAGTAATTTCATGCTAAGCACAGACTAGCACATTCATAGACAAATCAACATCAAATACTCTTTAATGCATAAGAAGTACACCATAAGAAGTACACCAAGTGGCCTCAAATACCAAAGTATGGCATTCTTATGTTTCCATTAGTGTCCTCTTCTATTATCAAACATTCTACCAAAAATTGTTCTTTGTGCAAGCTTCAACGGATTATTCATTTTCTCCTGTATGGTCCGTATATGCACAAGAAGGCCAACAACCTCAGCCATAGTAGGACGCTGCTTTGGACTGCTGTGCAAACATCCTTCCACAACTCGAACGAACTCCTGCAAACAATATGGGGAGATTTGATCTCTTATATCAAAATCAATTATACGCTTTAAATTCCCTTCTTTGATAGATTGTTGTGCCCATGTTGCTAAAGCCCATGTCTCCACATCAAGACTTCTCTCTATTGCACGCTTCCGACAGAGAACTTCTAACAATACCACCCCAAAAGAATACACATCAGACTTCCGTGTCAACCTTCCCGTTGAGTAATAATCTGGATCCAGATACCCTAAAGTCCCTTTAATAAGCGTGTTGACGAAAGTCAATGACTGATTCGCTGGACCTATTTTGGACAACCCAAAGCTGGAAATTTTAGCTTCCCAGTTTTCATGTAGCAAAATAGTTGAGGTATTGACATTGCGATGTACAACAAAGTCGATCCCCATTCCAGTGTGTAGGTAGTCTAACCCACGAGCAGCACCTATGCAGATATTGAGTCGCTGAAGCCAAGAAAGAGGGGTACCAAGTTTATGGAGGTGGTGTTCAAGTGTTCCATTGGGCAAATAGTTGTAGATGAGGATCATCTCTTTTTCATAGTTACAATAACCCAACAAAGACACAAGGTGATAATGACGCAACTTTGAAAGCGTCTCAACTTCCGCCCAAAACACTGATGCTCCTTCACTGGACATGGTATTCAACCGTTTAATGGCAACAACTTCAGCACTTGATCCATTCATAATGTTACCTTTGTAAACTTTTCCAAAGCCTCCTACCCCAATTAATAATGACTCGTGAAAGTTATGGGTCGCTAAGAGAATCTCAGGAAAGTCAAACTGACGACATGGGTGTGAGGGTTCTCTGAAGCTTGAAATACCAGAGTTATCTCCGTTGGAGGGGAGGGGGACAACGGTTCTACCTGGATGTTGCAACAAAAAAAATAAGTTTCTCTTATAAGTAAAGAATACCATGGTCCACGCCTCAAGAACACATGCATGTTCCTCAAAACTGTGGGAATTATCAATGTATCATGCTTGGGAGAAACGCTATTAAACTAAGGAAACAAGTTATTGAGGTTATTCAGATTCTCTCTTAATCTATAAACAATTTCATTCCTAGATATCAACATATATACTAATGAAAGCCACAGGCACTCTTTTATTTTTTTGACATTTGGAGATGCCATGCAAAGATGAATACACACAAACCTGAAGAACTTAAACACATAATTCAACAGAGATTGAAATACCAGAATTCTCTCCGTTGGAGGGTAAGGGAAAGATATCAAGCTTTTTTCTGTCGTCAGGAGGGAAGAAACTACTGGTCTTTTCTTCTGACGCAAGTACAGAATTAAGACCCACCACAATCTCAGCCATTGTGGGGCGAAGTTTTGGATTTCGAAGCAAACATTTCTCTGCAATTTGAACAAACTCGTTTAAGCATTTTGTGGATATTTGACCCCTTATACCGGAATCAATTATATGCTTTAAATTTCCCTCTTTGATGGAGTCTTGAGCCCACATCACTAAACCCCAATGGTCCTCATCAAGAGTTCTATCCACTGCACGCTTCCGACACAACACCTCCATCAATACCACTCCAAAAGCATACACATCAGACTTCCTAGTAAGCTTTCCGGTTGTGAAATAATTTGGATCGAAGTACCCAAAAGTTCCTTTAACGCCTGTGATGACTGTAGTAGATGGCTGATTGGTTGGACCTATTTTCGACAAGCCAAAATCTGAAATTTTAGCTGCCCATCTTTCATGTAACAAAATATTTGAGCTCTTGACATCACGATGTATAACACCAAACTCAATCCCTGTACCGGTGTGGAGGTAGTCTAACCCACGAGCAGCACCTATGCAGATCTTGAGTCGTTGAAGCCATGAAAGAGGGGTACCAAGTTTATGTAGGTGGTCTTCTAGCGTTCCATTTGGTATATATTCGTAGATGAGAATCATCTCTTTTTCATAATTACAATAGCCAAACAAAGAAACAAGGTGACAGTGACGCAACTTTGAAAGCATCTCAACTTCCGCCCAAAACTCTGTTGCCCCTTGAGTGGACATGGAATCCAAGCGTTTAATGGCAGCAACCACAAGACTTGATCCATTGATAATGTTACCTTTGTAAACTTTTCCAAAACCTCCCTTCCCAATTACTAATGATTCATCGAAGTTATCAGTTGCTAAGAGAATCTCCGAATATTCAAACTTGCGGCATGTTTGTGAGGACTCTGTGGAGGGATGATCAGATTCCTTGCCATCGCCACTAGCTGCCAACATAATTTAGGGAAAAAAAGTAGAGTAGTATGATTAGAAATTGTCAATGGTTTATCCACCGTATATGATATTGTCGGTTTAAGTCAAGCGCAAATTAATAGTCATTCGTGACAGAGAGAATGGAGCCCATTTGTATTTTTTTGACTTTCGTGTTGAAAATCCGTAGTCTTTTATATTTTGTCTGGCGACACTTACAGAAAATTCGTCTTTGTTTTATAATATTATCGTTCTAACTATTATTGGATTGTTTCAAATAAGGCATTATTAAAGTTGATATTAAGACTTCATAACGAAAATGATTAAAACAGAATCTTAGAAGATTGTAATAAATATTTAAATGCCAAATGATTTTTCTTATTATTTTCATTTTATTTTTTTCACATGTTTTTCTATTTTATTAAATTTCATATAATATTTAAATGTAATAAATAATAATAAATGCATATCAATTTTATTAATAGATTTTCCTTTTAATTTTAAAATTACTAAATTAAAACCTCATTAGTTTAGTTTGTTTATTTATCTAAATTATTTGTTTAAATATATATATATATATATATATATATATATATATATATAATATATATATATATATATATATATATATATATATATATATATATAATAATTCAATATTTTTTTCAATTTTCTTATAAATTCAATATTTACAAATGTTTAGAATTTCATATTTATTTTTTCTTTTAATTAAACTCATATAATATATGAGTCTCACACCTAATTTGTGAATATTTTAAATAAATATAAAATGCAGACATAAACAAATAAAACAGTACTCATGTTCTCTAGCGACTAAATGACATCAAGATATATGAGGTTTAGTTTGAAGATCATACTTTTATAACATACACTAGCCGAGTACCCGTGTTGAAATCTTTAAAAATATATGTTTTCTTAAATATAAGAATAATGTTGTTAAATTTGATATAATAATTTGCATGCTAAATTAATATAATATATTGATTATTTTGAATATAAGATAATATATACATCTATTAAAAATGTATAATCTCATTCGTTTCAATGACCTCTACATGCGAGTTCCTAATGAATAAAATTAAATATAATATATAATTTAATGTTATTTATTGTCGTTGCTAATTAATTTTTTAAAATTTATTTGTTTCACATTTTAATTTATATCATTGTAACTATTTAGAATCTCAGACGTTGTTTCTTGTTTTGAAAGATAACAATATAATTATTTATATAGAATTATTTTAACTATCGTTATTGTAAGTCATTTTAAGTTACTAATTTGACAATTTTTAATAATTATATTTAGAAAATATTTTACTTAAATTGATATTATAATTTAGTTTTTGCATTACTACAATTTATCACTTTTAACTATTCACAAAAAAAATGTTTGGGTTTCTTAAATAGAATTGAAATTTATATTTAAGTTGACTATCTAATGTTATATTTAAATTAACAATTTAATTATTTTATCCAAATTGTTCAAAAGTTGTAACTTTAAACTAATAATGGTTTACATATAACAACATATTAAATCTAATAAATTAAATTTAATATGTTAAAAGTTAAAGACATAACTTTATAAGTAGAAGTAAATATATTATTTTAATATTGAAATTTAGTTTATTTATGATTAGACTTTAGGTTTGATATTTATTTAATCTTATTAACCAACTTATAATCATTATTAGAAAGACATTATAATTTATCACTTTTAGCTATTTACAAAATATTATTTGGGTTATTTAAGTTGAACTAAAATTTATATTTAAGTTGACCTGTAATGTAATATTTAAATTAAAATTTTAAGTATTTATTCAAATTGTTCAAAAGCTCTAACTTTAAAATGATAATGGTTTACATACAACATAATACAAAAACTAATAAATAAAGTATACTATGTTAATAGTTAAAGATACAACTTTATAAGTAGAAGTAAAGATATTATTTTAATATTGAAATTTAGTTTCTATATGATTATACTTTAGGTATGATATTTTGAAACATCCATAAACTTAATGAAAAATATTAAACTTTTAAATTTTAATCAACCAATCATCATTGTTTACAAATTAGTATCCAAAACAAATTTAACATCAGAGTTTTCCCAAAATCATAAATCAACCACGAGGACGTGTACGATCACACCTTCGTCTTCCGACGATCGTCGTAAGTACCTGAAACATAATTCAAAACTGTAAGCCCAAAAGCTTAGTGAATTCCCCCAAAGTACCAACACAATACATATAACAATTACAAACAACATGCAATCTAAGCCTTCAGCCTGACTGGACCGCCTCGTAGGGCCTACAACATATCTAGACCGCTCCCGAGCTGTCAACATAATTGGACAACCTTGTAGGACCTACAGCCTATCCGAACTGCTTGCTTGGCCCTGACTAGACCATCCATGATATCTTGGCCTTCAGCTCAAAGCATGACCGCCTCAACTCAATCACACATAACTATATACATTACTTATAACCGGTCAGCAAACAGCAAGCATATCTAACAAATCACTACAACATAGTAACATCCTATATACCAGGATACAAATCTAACAAATCACTACAACATAACAACATACGATAAAACAGGATGCCAATCAATGGGCCGACCTTGGTGCCTCCGACCCATAAGTACAATGACGAAAATGAACCTCCCAACTAAACAGAATAATAAGATCCGAGTCATAATCTCTATTGTCTAACCGATACCTAATTCCATCAAATGACCAATTCCATCAAAATTGTAAAATACCTAAAATACCTTCAAGCTCATACTTGGTCAAACTTGGTCAAAGTCAAAGTCCACTGGTCAAACCCACTGAGCCAAATGAGTTAACCAGGTCGAGTCAACTCAACCGAGTCAACTCAAAAGCTGACCCATACGAATATGCGGGGCGTACCCCGGAGGTACACTTAGTGTATGTAGAGCCTCGTATTGACCACCATCGTGGTGGTTGACTTAGTACGTGGGGCGTACTTCTTCTTACATTGGGCGTAACCTCACAACCCCAAAACTTCATTAAGTGCTTAATGGCATAAGCACTCAAGCCCATAATTCAGATCCATTGTCCAAATCTAGCCTAAAGTCATAAAGTTTCCTACATTATGACTACCCATGCCTACAAAGAGCTTAACATAAGATCTTAATCCATTAATACCTCCTACAATATGCATGATGCAAAACTAACTAAAGGGACTTCATTTTGTAGCTAAGGACTCCTCCTAGAGTACGAAGGGACAACTTAAAACATCCAAAACATGCCATTGTCAAGATAAGGCTTTTCAGACCAAAAATATGACACGAAACTCCCATGACTAGATCTACAAGATTAATTGGTAAACGTGTAAGCTTTATACCTTGAAAGGCTTGCAAATAAAGAATGAATCCCAAATCTAAGTTGCTTCTTGCTCCAAGTTGAGCTTTATCTTCTTCCTTCCTATTCAAACCACACAAACACACTCTTTTACACTTGAAATTTCCTCACAAGGTGCTTCTAGGGTTTCAGATCACGAAGAGAAGGTAGAGGCTGGTTAGGTGAAGAGAAATGAGCCCAATAAGATGATTATATACCACCCAAACTCTAAAAATTAGGGTTTTCATATTTCTTTAGTATGCCCCACATACATTAGTGTACGCCTAGCGTACTAGGGTGCGCCCTAGTACGCTCAGTGTACACACATGTACGCTTACCGTACCTCTCCTACTTAAAATTACAAGAATGCCACTAGGGCTTCATGGTATCATAGCCATATTTGGTTTGTCATTTATGATTGTTGGAAGCATGTTGTACGTAAAGTTACGGCATTTATCGAATCGATTGTTTGAGGGTTCCAATTCTTGTTGGTTTTGTTTGATATTCATCATTTTTCACGTCATGATTTGGGTTGCGCCGCTGTGAAATTACCCTTTAATTGATATCTCGCCGCGATTTTATTTTTGTGCCGCAATTTAAGTTTAGAGTAATGTTTCAGCGCTATCATGTCCTGAATTTATTATTAAGCTTCGATATTTTGGACAGAAAACATCTTTTTACCATTTTGGTTGATTTTCGAAGTTTAGTTTGTTTGGTTATTGTTACTACTTGTCGATTTTGAGGTTTTGTTGTTTTGTTTGACTGTTGTTATTCATTATTGGTTTCGACGATTGGTTTTGTTTGTCTATTGTTGGTTTGGGATTCTTATTTGATTGTTTACTATCAATCTGGATCCAAAGCATAGACCAGTTTGAAGAGTTAATTTTGATGAATGTGCTTACTGCACACAATAGAACCATTGGAAGTCTTAGTGCGCATTGTTATTGAACAAGGAAAAACAACAAATAGATATATCATCAAGATAGATCAGTCATCATTTCACCCAAAAATAGAAACAAATGTCTACACTACCACCACGTCATATGCTGCATTGGATCCTCAAGTTCTTGAGCGGCTTAGAAAATTCTTTGCTCTCAATTATGCAACTATGTCTATATCTACATCTCATTCAGGTCTTTCGTCACGTAGTACTCCAGGTATTCCTTCACATATGTAACGACCCAAAATACAAGACCAAAAATTTTGTTTTATTAAGTTATTACATAAAACCATCAGTATAAAATAGTCATAATAATATCTCATGTCAAACCAGTGTGTCAAAAATCAAGCATGTCATCATAAAATAATATCAGAGTGTAATCCCAAAGATCTCATGTACAAAAAACATAGTGTGATGCGTTGCAATCGAGTTCGCTCCTTTCCTTTGAAAATAAAGAACCTGAAACCATAAACAAAACATGTAAGCATGAAGCTTAGTAAGTTTCCCAGAGCATACCATACATACAATCCACATATCACATATCCTGTTAGCTATAAAAGCTACATGTACCACATCTCCTGCTAGCTATAAAATCTACATATAACACATAAACCATGCATACAAAAACATGTAAGAATGTCATGGGCTACCCCACATGGTCTTTACCTAGGACTGTCATGGGATACCCCACATGACCTTACATCCAATGCCATGGACTACCCTACA